GTGCGTGGGCCACGCCATAGGCCACAGAGCATTCATAGTTCCTAATCCGGCCTCCTGCTGTATAGTGAAGTTTAGGCTTCCCTAATCGGGTAAGGCGAACCTCTCTATTCGTAATCCGTCCGGATAGCTCACACGCTTTGACAAGCGCCCCACGGCAGGAGTTTGCTTGCTGCCGCGAGTCAGTCATAGGCGTTGCCTCCTGAGTATGTGGCTGGCACATGCATTTCCTGTGCTATGGCAGAGGAAATGCATCATCCATCACAGCCTCAACGAGATAAGGGGCACGGACATGTATATAGAGCGTTGTGTTCCTACTTTCGTTTCCTTTTATTCACGCTTCATCTTGTATATTAGGCCCAATCATAGCTCTCCTGACATTACGAAGCGTCTACTTATTTTTATCGTCTGGTCCTTAGGTCCGCCTTAACCTATTTTCCCTTTGTTATTGTTCCTTGTTGCTTAGTCTAGGCAGTAGAAGAACCACTGCCTCTCCTTTTATCCTGTTCTGCGTCCCTTCCTCCTTAGAAGAGTCTGAGATCTCCCTTAAGTCCTTTTTATCTGCAGAAGCTATAGCTAACGCCCGGATATATCTTGATGACGACATAGTTGACTTACAAGAACCCTCTCGCATACCTATCTCTATGTATAGTCCGGCTCTAATTTACACTCTCCAGCCCTCTGAGCACCTAGCCTAAGATCTGACTTAAGGCCTAATAGCTTAAACCTTATTAGTAATAATATTACAGCATGTGAATACGCCAAGCACTAACAGGCACTACAGAGCTGCCTGGCACTCTACGAAGGAACTATAACAGACTTAGACAGGACTAGACCCTGAACTACACACATAGTCAGACCTAGACAACATAATAATCAGAGGTAATCAGGGTAAGCACTTATAAGTAATAATTAGAGGTGATTAGGATGATTAACTCTGAGCATAAATCTTCTACTCTATATAAGTACGCTTATTTCCTAGATAGTTTTATAGTTTTCGTAGTCAACTTATATTATTAGCTTATACTTAAGTTAAAGACATCTTAGTATTATTTATTATACTTCCTATTTTATCTAACTAATCCTTTAGACCTAACTTATAGTTAAGACTTATCTTAATTAGTTAAGCCTTAACAAATAGCTATAGTCTTATATATAATAGCTTAAAACTAGAACAAGTCAATAGTCCATAGATTACTAAAACGAAAGCTGGAGAATCTATCTACAATGTAGCCATGCACAGATTCATATACTCTAACGCTAGCGGGTAAGGCCTGTGTGTGTGTAGGCCACGCCATAAGCCACAGAGCATTCGTAGTTTCTAATCTAGCCTCCTGCTATATAATGAAGTTTAGGCTTCCTTAATCAGGTAAGGCAAACCTCTCTATTTGTAATCCGTCCGGATAGCTCACACGCTTTGATAAGCGCCTTACAACAGGAGTTTGCTTGCTGTTACGAGTTAGTTATAAGCATTACCTCTTAAGTATGTAGCTAGCACATACATTTCCTGTGTTATAACAGAGGAAATACATTATCTATTATATTATCCCCTCTTTTAAAAAATTAATTACCTTTAATTAAAAGTATAAAAAAGCAAGTCTACTTTCATTTTAATATTACTAAGCTTAGTAATTCCTTATTAGGTTAGTCTAATATTTAACTATATATATATAGCTAAATTTATTATGTAATATCTTTATTAGATTTTCTGTACTTAGCCTTAAATTAACTAATTAGGCACCTCTTTTGCTAGGTACCTTTCAAAATAATCCTTAAGCAGGTCTTCAAAGCCCTTAAAGTTTGAGATAAGGTAATAGGTCAGGTCCTCTAGCCAGCCTACTCATCTTGCTCGTACCTTTCATGCTTTGCCTACTCTCTTAACGTTGACTATATCTTTGACCTCTTACGCCTCCTCTTCTTCTGTCTCTACTGGCAGAGGCTGTAGGTACTCCTGCCCTGGCAGAGGGTCAGTAGGGTCCTTAGTCAGTAGTGATATATAAAACACATTATAAATCCTTATTAATAAGGGTAGTTCTAAACGAAAACTCTGCCTAAGCCTCTTTATAACAGGGAATAGCCTAATCTATTTTAAATCAAGTTTCTTATAAGGTTTTGTTGTGCTAATATTCTTTATTAATAGCTAGACCTTATCTCCTTCGAAATCGATTTCCTAGTAATGCTTATTCGCCTGCTCTTATTGCTGTAACTATATAGTCTTTAGATACTTTTGTACTTATTTTTAAATCTTCCTTATTAGTTTTATTAAGTCTTTCGCCTTTTTTAAGACTATATATGTCCTTATTATCTCTGTAGATTTAGGCTTATTAAAGCTTATTCTTAACTAATATTCATATATAATTATAAATAATAAGAGCTAAGTAGATTCTAATATAATTATATTTATAGCAAATTTAGTACTTAAAAAAAGATTATTCTAATTATCTTATACAAAATCTATATAAGCCCTTAAGTATTATTTTATCTCTATATTAAAGACTTTTATCTAGCTATTTATTTATAAATAATAAGCTATAAATAACTTTACTTTAACTCTTAAGATTTAGTACTATTATTTTTATATTTTGCTAGCAAATTATAGCCCTTAGTTAGATATAATTATCTAAGAAAGCCTATAGAGCTTTTATACATTTCTATATAGCATCTTAGCTGTTTCCTCTGAAGTTGTGCCCTTCTTTATAGCTATATAAGAGATATAATAGTGTTTCTTACTTAACTAATTAATAACTACTAAAATAACATTATAGCCTTCTAATATTAGTAATCCTGTAACGAAATTTATTAAGATATCCTACTAAAGGCGCTTAAGAATCAAAAAAGATTACAACAAGCCTGTAAAAAGCTAATATATAAGTTTAGTCCTCCTGCAGACATAGTATTTATTTAAGATATAATATCTATTATTTGTAATAGCCTTTCTTATCTTTATATAGCCTTAAGTGCCTAGTCTTTTTACTTTTATAGATCTCTTAAATTATGTTTATTATTATTACTATTAGTACTACTAGTTTTTCTCTATATTATAATACTCCTTTTTTGTCTTTATAATTTTAAATATTATACTTAAATATTTTCTTCTTTAGGTTCTCTATTTATTTCTTTATTCTAATTATATTAAACGTCTTATTAATCTGATTCTCTTTCTTTATCTTCTTTTAAAGTAGCAAATCTTCCTCCTCTAATAATACTTATATTACTAAGATTTTTAGGTCGTTTTTTACCTTCTTAGATAGTATATCTGATTACAGAAGAGTCTAATACAGATAGATATAATTATCTAAGAAAGCTTATAAAGCTTCTATATATTTCTGTATAGTATCTTGGCTATCTTCTCTATAATTGTGCCCTTCTTTATAGCTATATAAGAAATATAGTAGTGTTCTTTACTTAGCTAATTAATAATTATTAAAATAACATTATAGTCTTCTAATATTAGTAATTCTGTAACAAAATTTATTAAGATATCTTATTAAAGGCGCTTAAGAATTAAAAGAGGTTATAATAGGCTTATAAGGAGCTAATATATAGGTTTAGTCCTCTTACAGACATAATAATTCTATAAGAATCTCTTAACTAACGTGTATTTATTTAAGATATAATATCTATTATTTGTAATAGCCTTTCTTATCTTTATATAGCCTTAAGTGCCTAGTCTTTTTACTTTTATAGATCTCTTAAATTATGTTTTCTTTATACTATAGTACTCTTTTCTTGTCTTTATAATTTTAAATATTATACTTAAATATTTTCTTCTTTAGGTTCTCTATTTATTTCTTTATTCTAATTATATTAAACGTCTTATTAATCTGATTCTCTTTCTTTATCTTCTTTTAAAGTAGCAAATCTTCCTCCTCTAATAATACTTATATTACTAAGATTTTTAGGTCGTTTTTTACCTTCTTAGATAGTATATCTGATTACAGAAGAGTCTAATACAGATTAGGATTCTTCTTTACTCTTAGAATCTTAGTTTCTTTTTAAGTTAATATATTAGCTTTTTTGTTAGCAGCTCTTAGATGATATCTGATCTTAAAGTTATATTAAGATATAATAATTCTGCTTAGTGTGCTTACTAACGTATTAGCTTCTTTATTAATATAAAATACTCTAGAGCCTTATAATTTATAAGTATTTAGATAAGATTCTCTCTTAATAAGTATAGCTTTAATAACTATTTCTTAAAATAATAAATAATAATTAA